AACCAGATTATCTGGTTTGTGGACGACACAAACGTCTACCGAGTCACCATCCACAAGGTGAGCAAAGACGTGTGATGTAAAATATGTACCTTTTTGTTTCTAAATTAGTGCAGTTTAATGTTGTAAATAAAATTTTGTCACACCTGTTTTCCATTTATCTAAACAGACCTTTGAGGGTAACTTGACCACAAAGCCCATCAACGGAGCCATTTTCATCTTCAATCCCAGGACTGGCCAACTCTTCCTCAAGATCATCCACACATCTGTGTGGGCTGGACAGAAACGTCTGGGACAGGTACAGTGATGCTCAGCCACTACTTGCTATCATAAATAACAGCCTGTTGTGTGGCATCCATTATTATTCAGATTTTCATTGTCTTAATCTGGAAAAAAACTTTTTTTTTTAAACTTGGGAAAAGGGCTGCTACAGTAAGATTGGTCTGAATTTAGTTTTTGTTTCACTCTTCTCCTTTAATAATGCAACAATGCAAACAGTTTGAATAACCTTTAATTACCATATTTGGATTGATGTGAAGAAGTCTGCTGAAATTTAAACAGAAAGTTTATTTAGTGAAGTAAAAGACCATGACCACCCTTATGACTCAGTTACATGGCAGAGACACACACAAACACCATCTTTCTCTGTAAAATAACTGCTTAACTTTTGGCCAGTAACAGAACTTGGACAGGAACTTGAATTTTTGCCAGAAGTTTAGAACTTAATTTTTGTTTATCTGTAGCTGGCCAAATGGAAGACAGCTGAAGAAGTGGCTGCCCTGATTCGCTCCCTCCCTGTGGAAGAGCAGCCGAAACAGATCATTGTAACCAGGAAGGGCATGTTGGATCCTCTGGAGGTGAGACTCTTTTATGTTGATAACTGCTGTAATAATCACAAGCCTTGTAGGACTAGCTCGGTGTAGTTTTTGGAAGTTGAAACCACACTGCAGTCCTTTTCCAGTTGTGATGCCTTTGTTGTCGCTCTGCAGGTCCACTTGCTCGACTTCCCCAACATCGTGATCAAGGGCTCCGAGTTGCAGCTGCCCTTCCAGGCCTGTTTGAAGGTGGAGAAGTTTGGAGACCTGATCCTGAAGGCTACAGAGCCACAGATGGTGCTGTTCAACCTCTATGACGACTGGCTGAAGACCATCTCATCGTACACAGTGAGTTTCACCCCCTCTTAAAAGAGTTGGACCAGGATTAAACAGACTATCAAATTTAAGTTGCTGTATTGTGTCTGCATTAAGATGTTATCCCAAGCTGTTAGATAGCATGTGTCCTTATTTACCTCCATTATTGATTAAAAGACAAACTTGTGGTTGTGACTTATACCTGAGCTGATCCAAGCTAATTTCCCAACAAAACTCATTAAGGTGCATTCATTTTTTGTGAGCTCAACTTAATCCCCCTGTGTAAATAGTTTGTTTGGTTGTCTACTCCACCTCTAGGCCTTCTCCCGACTCATCCTGATCCTCAGAGCGCTCCACGTCAATAACGACCGAGCCAAGGTGATCCTGAAACCTGATAAAACCACCATCACTGAGCCCCATCACATTTGGCCCACGCTCACTGATGAGGAGTGGATCAAAGTGGAAGTGCAACTCAAGGATCTCATCCTGGCCGATTATGGCAAAAAGAACAAGTAAGTGTTTGGTGTAACATAAACAGCATGTAGCACAAACAGCTGTTAGCGTTATATTAAGACCACAGTTTCTAAGGAAACTAATTTTCTGTTCTGTAACTGAGAACAGAATCAAACCAGAGTTGATTTTAGTAGTCAGTGCTTCCTTTCTCTCCATCCAGCGTGAACGTGGCCTCACTGACACAGTCTGAGATCCGTGACATTATTCTGGGTATGGAGATCTCGGCGCCGTCACAGCAGCGCCAGCAAATTGCTGAGATTGAGAAGCAGACCAAAGAACAGTCGCAGCTCACCGCCACACAGACCCGCACTGTCAACAAGCATGGAGACGAGATCATCACCTCTACCACCTCTAACTACGAGACCCAGACCTTCTCCTCTAAGACTGAATGGAGAGTCAGGTATGCAGACACTTTACTTTGAGGCATTACTTCCCTCAGGATCGAGTTTATCCATAATGAACAATGACGTAAATTCTACTGAATGGTTCACTATGCAGTCATTTTTATCAGTTGGCTTTAATGTTCTTTGGGTTTTTTCTGTCAGGGCCATATCTGCTGCCAACCTCCACCTCAGAACCAACCACATCTACGTGTCATCTGATGATATCAAGGAGACGGGATACACCTACATCCTGCCCAAAAATGTCCTCAAGAAGTTCATCTGTATCTCAGATCTGCGTGCACAGGTATGTATTTATTGTGCTGCACCTGATTTCATCAACTGTCTCTGATCCTGTAATTCTACTACTGCATACTTTGATTTCTCATGTGTTTTCAAAGTAAACAAGCTGCTTCTGCAGATTCTAACCCTGTTGTGTTGCTCCAGATTGCAGGCTACCTGTACGGCACCAGCCCACCAGACAACCCCCAGGTGAAGGAGATCCGTTGTATCGTCATGGTCCCTCAGTGGGGGACACACCAGACTGTCCACCTGCCCAACCAGCTGCCTGGCCATGAATACCTTAAAGTAAGATGCCTGTGCAGAGAATTTTTCAGCTCATTCTTGCTGTTCTTTTCATAAATACTTGTTTATTGAAAAGGTTTCTTTGCAATGGACCTAAAGATCTTTGTCTTAAACAGGAAATGGAGCCCCTCGGCTGGATCCACACACAGCCCAATGAGTCCCCGCAGCTGTCCCCACAGGACGTCACCACCCATGCAAAGATCATGGCTGATAACCCGTCTTGGGATGGAGAAAAGACCATCATCATCACTTGCAGGTGGGTTCCTTTTAACGCTTGTTGTCTGTCACACAAGGAGTCTGGAGACAACAGGAAAAATGTCAAGCAGTTTTCCACTTATATGCATGTTTCAGATTGGCATTGGTTCTGTACTCAATGCAGTGATTCTACATGTGAGACTGGGACCTCTGCTTCTGTGTGAAATAAGTAGACTTTGCTTTAGGTTTGTCACATTGTAAGGCTACTGATATTTAATTAGAAATTTGGCTGTTCGCTCTTACCTGTGTTAAATATTTTCCATTACGACTGGGGAAAAAAAAAAATCGTGTTCTGCTTGCAAACAAGCAATTATAACTGTCCAGTTGTCTTAATGGACGTAATTCAGTGCTATAGTAGAAAACTAATTCAGGAAAGACTTACCATAATTCAAAACCCAAGCTTGATTTGCATTTGTGTTGTGCTTCTAAAGTGTAGGATGTTGCAGATATTTCAACATGTAACCTCATTATATTTAAATGCATTTCACCTTTGGTTTTCAGTTTCACTCCAGGCTCATGTACGCTCACAGCCTACAAGCTGACACCCAGTGGATATGAATGGGGTCGCCAGAACACAGACAAGGGCAACAACCCGAAAGGCTACCTGCCATCCCACTATGAAAGAGTGCAGATGCTGCTGTCTGATCGCTTCCTGGGCTTCTTCATGGTGCCAGGCCAAGTCTCCTGGAACTACAACTTCATGGGTCAGTAATCAAAGTTTACACTTTTATTAGATGAACTTTTATTGTGTAATTACTTTATTGGAAGAGCTGAAAGATTCATCTATAAAAAACAGTTTGAAACTGTGTCATGTCCTCAATTTGGCTGTTTTCATTTGTGACAAATCGGTGGCATACATTGATGTTTCCGCTCTGACCCCATGTCAGTTTAATTGATTTTACTATGAAAGAGGGCTTCACAGCTCAAAACTAAATGTGAAAAACAAACTTAAGTCATCACCAAGTTGTAAAATACGTAGATGACTGTCAGAAATGTAATGATTTTGTAAATTTGTCTTGCCACAGGTGTGCGCCACGATCCCAACATGAAGTACGACCTGCAGCTGGCCAACCCCAAAGAGTTCTACCATGAAGTCCATCGGCCCTCGCACTTCCTGAACTTTGCCTCGCTGCAGGAGGGCGAGATCTACAACGCCGACCGCGAGGACATGTACGCCTGAGAGCCATGGCTCTGCTCTTGACGTGTTTGTAGATAGCTCTAACCAGCATCATGTGGAGCCAGGGCTGATCTGCTCTTGTAATATTTCTATTGAAGACATGTAACTGTGATGTTTGGAAATTTTTATGTAAAGGCTTTAGGACCTTTTAGGAATCTGATAAGTTTTTTGATATTTTCTACCAATGTTATGTTTTTTTTTTGTCCCTTCCCTCTCATCTATTACAGTAAGGCTTCTTTGAGCAAGTCTTTGATTTTTGTGGCTTCTCGTACATTTGAGCATACGTGCATTTGTGTGTAGTTTTCAGTACACGATACGTCGATGTAATATTTGATAATTTACATTATTTCCGGAGAGTTAACACTCACTTCCTCTTTCGAAATTTGGGCAATGAAATTGAAAGTTGTATTTTCATGCCAGTAATGCCCCGTTACTGTGTTGTTCTGTACATCCTGTGACATTGTAGCTCGGGTTTAAATAAAGATCACAATTTTTATAAACACTGTTGTGATAATGCAATCTGTTGGGGAAGTGAAGATTTTATGTTCACTCTGGCTACGTGTGTGGGGGAACTTTTTGGTTTGCTTCCTTCTTAAGAGAGGCTAAAGGTCACATGGACTTCACTAAAGCTCTCATGTCAGTTCAGTTTCAGTGACTCGTTCAAGCACCCTTGTAGGACACCAAAACAGTGCCAGCTATTGACGGACTGCTGTGTTTTAGTCTGGTTTGATGAAGTTATAATGTCCTGTGTGGGTGCAGGTTGATGCTTGTTGTAGCTGCCCTAATTATAGTTGTGTAATTGACATTTATTAGACAGTTTGTGAGTGCAGATCTGCAGAGAACCCCAGTGTTAACGCTCTGCTGCGTGCATCAGCATGCTCGACCTGGCAGACGAGTTCCTGCGTGTTTCTGTGTGTACTCGCATTACATTGGTCAGAGGAGGAGGAGGATCCTGCGGAGAGCCGAGCACACTGCAGAGCGCCGTCCAGCCTGGTAACACACAGCTTGGTGCCTTTATTTGTTTTTATAGTCTGCGGTAATGTGATAACGCCGATTAAATAAACGAGGACTTTTCGGAAAGAGGAGGAGCAGGTAAAGTTCAGACACGTTGGCAGCGTGGGCTCAGCGACGCTTTCAACTTTAAAACTAGCTTGTGCTGGTGTAAAGTTTTCACATTAATTTGTTTCGCGGGCTCAGTGTCGGTTTCGATATCGCAGATAAAGAGCATGTGAAGAGCCACCCGGGCTCAGACATGGAGACTCACCCGGACAGCAGGAGCTCAGACGGCTGCTTTGACAGGACTTGCTCCGCTCTCACCGTCGACAATGTGTACGACATCGCCAAACTCATCGGCACCGAGGTGGAGAAACTCATCGACGGCTACGGCAAGGAGAGCGTCGAGGGTCTGGTGCCCAAAATAGTGAAAGTGTTGGAGCTGCTGGAGAGCTTCGCGTCGAGGAACAACGCTCACAAACTGAGAGAAGAGGAGCTGCTGAGGACCTTCGAGACCATCCAGCTGCAGCAGAACAAGAAACGCGGAGGGAAGGAAAGCGAGGAGAGCAACGATAAAAATGAAATGCGGGTGAGAGACAAGAGGAGCTTTCGGTCCTCCCACCATTTTGTAAACAATACACGGCACGCATGCTGTTAAGTCACGATGTATGTGTTATAACGAGGTTACAGCTGCATTTTTCCCCAGGTTGTAACGTCTGTATCGGGGCACGTTTTCTGTGTCGTGACAAACATGGAGCTAATTGACAGGCAGGCCGGGGACTACATGTTCCAGCCCTCCCAAACAGAGCCAAAGCATTCTCGTTAAAGCTCCATGTGGCATTCCCATGGACGATATACATTAAAATACATATTTTCTTGCATTTAACTGTTAAAAGCTGTTATATATTGCATTCCACCACAGTTCCTGCCCGCTAACTGACTAATTGATATCAGTCCGCCAACCAGAAATACCAGCCGTCGTCAAGGCAACCGCCGAAAGACAGTTGCTCGGCTAAAACTCGTTGCTGCTACTGAACGGCTAACAGTGAGAATATGTAGCATTATTGTTTAGTAGATTGTTTTGTATTAACTTACAGATTAGCAATATTTTCTAAAAAGTCTAAGGTAAACTAGGTATGGGATTTACCAGCAATGTTTTGCTCGCTTTGGTACAGTTAACAGAGTTAATGTTATTGTTGTGGATAAAGCAGCTAGCTTGCAGCGTTGCATAGAAGAATTCAATTTCAGTTCAGTTTTACTTCAGTAGGCTTTATTGGCATGAATGTCAGGTCAACAGTATTGCTAATGTGGCAAGGACGGTACAATTAAAAACTACTTTTAACTTATTAATAATATTTAAAGTAGGTGTACATCAGTCAGACATAATAAATGAAAGCTATGTTGATGAGTTAGTGAGGTATAGATATCACAATGCTATAAACTACAAATAGGCCAAAGAAGGCCACTCTTCCATGGGGCCCTAAAAGCACCAAGGCATGTTCACTGTGTGGAGTTTGCTGCAGTTTGGTTTCCAGAAAATCAAGTTTGTATATTAATATGCACTCTTAAGCATGTTTGAGATTAGGGCTTGGTCGCCTCAGACTGCATTTTGCAAAGTATACAAACACCCTAAATGGGTGTCAACGTTGGTATTTTCTCTCTGGTGTAAAAGTGACACAGAACAAACAAAAGCTACAAGTGGCAGTGCTCCAAAACGGATAATGTTAAGAACAAGTGGCCACTTGAACGCTCTCTGTTTGCCATCTCTGGTCATGTTGCAAATCCCTCTTCTGTTACAGAGTTATAAAATATGAAACTCAGGCAGTTTGAGCGAGTAGATGTGTTGGATGAAAAATACATATGGAAAAAAGCTGTTGATGCATAAGCGCTGTCAAAGGGAAGCTGCTATTGTACCTACATTGCAGGAGCCTAAAACTGTAGCACAGGTTTTATGCTCATTAGCTCACTAATGGAGTGTATTGTCATTAGATTGTGTGACAACCAATTTGTCAAATGGTAAAGGGAAAGCAATGTTTGTTTGAATGCGTTCATCAATATTCACTCAAAGTATTTGATTATTACTGTTTAATCTACATTGTTGTCAGGTCTCCATCAAATGAAATTTCTTTTCTTTCTGCTTATACATTAGCATGTCTAACCTTTTACACTTCAATCCTTCTTTTAGTGCATTGTAGACAAGACATCATTGCTACAAGTAGATGTAGAGGTGTGGTTCTGGGAAGTCAGACTGTGCTGTTGGGAGAGCTTGGGACCAATTTATCAAAACATCTGTAATGATGTAATAAAATGACACACCCTGTTGGATGCAGCATGCTTTGCTGCATCCAGATTCTTAGATGCTCTAGAGATCTTCAGCAGCAGGCTGTCATTCCTGATTTTCCTGATAATGTGGTATTTCTGTCTCTGAGGTTGTGGTTTTACAGTCTGGCTCTTGTCCTCCTGAGCAGGAGCTGCAGCAGAAGGAGGAGCAGTGGAAGAGGAGGTGTGAAGAGCTGCAGGTCCAAGTCCAGCAGCTCCAGGAGGACAGGGAGGAGCTGCAGAGCAGGCTCAGGGGCAACCATGCACAAGAGGGTATGTCCAAGTCCCCAATCAGTCCCAAACGACTTTTTTCTTTGTTCCAAAAGCAGCCTTTATGATAAGTTTATAATAAGTTTTACATAGCATAAAATAGTTAAATGTAGATATTGCAAAAACAATACAGCATGTTTTCCAGACGCACCGTAAACAGCAGGGAACCACCAAGTACATTTTTTTTTTACAAACAGAGCTACATCGTAATTCGGTTTGAGTGTTCCAGCGCTGCCTTTACCTGTTCTCCAAACAAGCAAATAAACCTCAAGGTGATTTGGTTAAGTCGATTTTCTTTCCCAGTCCAGGAATGTAGATGCATGTAAAGTATGTATCACAGAATAACTTCTCAGCAGTTACAGTAGAGATTAGAAGCAGTGGGTTAAAAGTCCTACGTGAGGAGGCTTAAAGTAGTCGAACTGGTCAATGCAGTGTTTATAGTGGAGTTATTTTGCTGCACGAAGCAGCAGAAGAAGCCTGTGCTTACCCTACAAACATAAAGAGAACAACTCTGAGGCACTTTGAAAAAGTCAACATCACACCGCGTTCAAGTTTGCAGTATATGTTTATTATGTTTTCTATTAGGCACCAGATTATCCTGTCTTCACTTGATAAATTTTATCAGTATTTCAATAAAAAACTTGGAACGATATAAAACGAAAAGATGTCTTTTCTTATGTCGTGTTCACCTTGACAAATTCCAACATGTAGAAAACATACCACAATAATCTGAGCCAAAGGGTGGAGTCACTTAGTGGATTCTTGTTTTCTTGTACTGACAGGAAAACATGCTGTCTAAATGTGTTTGTGATTTGTTTGACAAGAGTCTAATAGACAAGTGAGTGTAGTGAGTGTGACTACTATCCAGCTGCTGTGCTTTATGCAGTTGAAGTTAAATTCAAATGCATGTAGATTATTTCAGTTTGTGTACAAGAAGTTAGTCTGAAGCGACTACAGGGTTAAATAGGTTAAAAGACATACCTTATCTTTTGCTGCCGCACGTGTGTGTTTAAAGGGTCAGTTTATCTAAAAATAATAAAAAAGAGCTTTCTATGAATTGTATCTAGCTATGTGACAGCTTTGGCTTTATTTGCCCAGGCAGCTTTGAGATAACCACAGACTTCAGCTTCCACTTCACTACAGTAGAATTGAATGGAAAGTTTTTTTGTGGTATGTGTGCATTGTAAAACTTAACAGTGAAACATCTTTGTAAAGAAGGTGTCTTAGTTGCTCTATATAATCCACAGTGTTGCTCAGAGTGGGTTTCTGTGGATTGTTATAATTTATTGGCACTTTGTTATTCTGGTGTATAAAATGTCAAGAATCTAGAGTCAAGGTCCCATAGTTCTTCAGTTTACTGTCACAGGAGAGTGAAGAAACCAGAAAACATTCAAATTTGAGAAGCTGGAATCAGATCATTTTTACTTTTTTCTTAAAAGAATACTCAAAATGATTAATAGATTTTTAACAATAGTTGTTGCTTACAATGTAGTTACAATTAGTTCATTAACAATTACAGCTCTAACCTTAATTTTAGATTATGAGCACCTCTGTAAATTTGTACCAAGAAATCAAAACAAGTAATGTAATAATAACTGCAGAGATTTACAGAAAAAGCTTTCGCTATAATGATGTATCTTTGTGGGCCATTGTCTTGTTTTTCTTACAATTTGTGTGTGTGTGTGTGTTAGACCGTGTTCAGCGGCAAGAGCGGGAGGTGATGCTAAAGCTGAAGGAGGTAGTGGACAAGCAGAGAGATGAGCTGAGGGCCAAAGTGCAGGAGATAACCACCATCTCTAAAGAGGTGGAGGCGGTAAGAAGACACAAACCATATACTGGATGCATATTTTTTAGCTCATATACACTGACACATTAAACGTCAAACGTGGATGCACAGTCGCTCTTTTTCTATTTATAGGTGCTTCATACAGACACATAGACACTAACATAAAATTCATGGCTGTGGCTTTAAAGTTCTGTTTTCCATGTTGCCTTTTCTTGTAGAAACGACAATCTTTGTTGTATTACTGTCATGCTAAGATTGTATTTTTTGTGGTGTTCATATATATATAGTAACATACAGACATACTTACACAACCATGTATCACATGCAGCATCAAACGAGAACTTGCATCATGTAAGAAACACAGTAAACACACTGGAAGACATGAAGTGTGTCAAACATGGTGTAAAGGGCAGAGATTATTCACATAGTTACCATTTGAGGATTTAAACTGCACTTTAAACAAGTCATGGCATTGTTTTCACAACCGCCTACTGTGTAGGTGTGTGTGTGCGTGCTCATGTATGAGTGTTTGCACGTGCCTGTGTGCGCGTCAACCCACAAATATCACATGATTCTAAATAGCAGCCATAACTGGGTGTGTTTGTTAATGCTTAACTTCTTGTTCTCAGTCAGTTGACTTAAGTAAAAAAAAAAAAAGAAGCTCATGGTCGTGAGTAGTTCACTTGACCATGAGTTGTTGTTGTTGTTTTATGGTTTTTTTTTGTTTGCTCAAACAGATTCTCACAATTTTCTTGAATGAGTGGATGCTTTTTAAATGAATGCAGCATTTGTCTTGGCATTTTCTGGTTTCATTTCTTGCCCTCTCCATCCCCAAGACCTTTGGTTCAAATCCCATGCATGAAGTCAATGAGCCACCCTCCTCTGATGCTGTTGTTATTTGCCAGATGCAGATACAGTGCAGTAGTGACTGGTGCTCAAAGATTTTGGTGGGCATACAGTTTGTATAATGGCAGGTTTGACAAGTGATATAACTGCCACGTATCACCAGCAGGTTCAGTTAACTACTGTTAAAGCCTTAAAGTTCTAATCAGAGAATTTCAGCAGCTGTTTCAACCTAAAACCCAGTGGTTTCACATAAACTGGCCTCTCAGCTAGAGTCGTTGAGATCTATGCCCTGTAGACCAACGTAAACAACCAACAGCATCATGCCCATTGGTTGCCAAGAGTTGAACAACTGACAGACCCAGTCATTTGGCTTCATCCTTCACGCAGGAAGCATTCAAATAAATTCACCAAATATAACTGTAAAACAACCTATTAATAAATGCCTACATGTCTACCAGATACATATAGGGACTAAACTACTTTAATTCCATAATTATTTAGCAATATATATATTTTATGATTAATATGAGAAAGTAGCCTTGCTTCTCTGAATAACTGAGAGGGGGTGAGACTTTAATGCCCTCCACTAACAAGCCGTCAGTGATAGATTGCCTTTTTGGTCAAGTTTTATCTTGTTGATTTTGGGTTGAGCTTTATTTAGAACTGGTGGGAAATATGGGAACTGTCTGTGCTGCTGCTCGTGACTTTGAAATTTATATTTTATGTGCATCTGTGTGTGTGTGCAGCTCCAGGAGCAGCTGGACCGCTTCATGAAAATGAATGCTGAGCTGCGACACAAGCAGAACGTGCTGCAGGCACAGCTGAAGAGCACCGTGGAGAGGAAGGCTGACATGGAGGCCGACCTGAAGGAGAAAAGCAAAGAAATCGAAAACCTCCAAATACAGTTGGACAGAACCAACAGCAATGGCCCGGTATGCATGGCTCTTACACTGGATATGCTTCTTTTACTTCATGCCTCAAGAATTATATGTAAGCTATATGATCCTCTACTTGTCACCTGTGTGGTATTGTGCTTGCATTGGTTTAGTTCTCAAACTCAGATATACTCTAAGAATTATTTATGGTCAAAATACATCAGGACATTTGTTGGACAGTTAGCTCCCTCTAAGGCTAAAGCTTGGTCGAATAATCAGATAACAGCTGCTTTCAAACATATTGTTGAAGAGGCTGTAGTTTGCTGAACCCGACTACTCTCTCTTTTCCCATCAGTCTAGTCCAAGTCAAGCAGTGCACGTGTCAAAGAAAAAGTCAACCTCTGACCACAAGGATCCTGATCAGCCCTGCTTCACCAAGAAGGAGGTGCGTGACATCCTTTTTGAGAGGAACGAGCTCAAAACCAACTTGTTTCTGGTGCAGGAGGAGCTCAACTACTATCAGAGGTGGGTCTAATGTGTGTATGTGTGTGTGTGGGCATCTCTTGTTGTATTATGTGCTATGTCTCTGAGAAAAGCATCGGAGGGTGCTCTGAAGTTGCACATTTTAGTTAGTTTGCACCAACTGTTGGTTTGTGGATGATGCATTTTCTTATCATGGATGTAAATGAAAGGATTTTGTGCATCTGCAGGGAGATACTGAATGAGGAACGGTGTCCAGGTTTCCTCTTAGAGGCCGTCCGCTCTGCCATCAAAAAGAGAAGAAAACTTATAAAGGCCAAGATGCTCGGGATTCCTGTCAACGAATGCAGCAGCAGGTCTCTCTTACACAGTCACCATATCGAGAACTGCAATCATTTGCCAGGCGTAGAAATATGTTGAGAAGGTGAGGATGGTTGAATATTGACAGTTTTGTTTCTGTGCAGCGATGAGGAAGAGAGGAGTTCTCTGTTTGGGCAGACAGAAGTGGATGGCACAGAAGTAGACGGGACTGACAAACCAGCTGAATCACGCATTCGAAACCTGTGAGTACAGTTTTTGCCTACACAGCTACAGACTGGAAACCATAATGCTAGTTTGCATAAAGCTAAAGATGGTTTTGATATTTTAGTTTCAGCACTGCCCCTGTTTATGCTGTTGTTTGAGAAGTAAAAGGTAAATTCTTTGCTTGCATGGGTTTACAGTGAGTTTTGCTACACATTAACTGAAATAGAATCCAGATATAATAAGGATGATACATTTAACTCTGTAGCACTTTGCACTGGAACTCTCAATAAATGTGCAAAGCAAGAGCATTAACCCTCCTATTACATTCAAATTTACTGACATCTTTTATCCTTGGCTTCAATTTGGCCCCAGCAATTTAAACCTCCAAAAAATATAATCAAAATTGTCACCCAAATTTATGTGTAAATAACCCTTTAAATAAAACTGAAAAAAATTATGTCAATGACTTATTTAGAGATGTTAAGCACTGAATAGGGTCAAATTGACCCTGAAGAAGTTAAAGGCCACGGCCTGACTCAGACCTGCTGGAGAGAATGCGGAGAGAACGTGGCGAATCACTTTCATATTTTTTGGAACTGGCCCAACATTAACCAGTTCTGGAGAGATATTCATAAGACATTAAACAACGTATTTAAGTCTAAAATACCCTTGGATTTGAACTCTCTTTATCTTGGGAACGTGCAAGCGTTGACACAAAAGAAGGACATAAAGCTGCTGCAAGCCATGCTCACAGCAAGTAAGAAATCTATAACTAGAAGATGGCTCAACCCAGCACCTCCCACAACAGAGGAGTGGCACAACATAGTACTAGAAATCTGTAAAATGGAAAAGATTACTTATTCCTTGAGAGTTCAGAAGGATAAATTCAAGCAGATATGGGAAAATTGGATTACATACATAACCCCACTTAGGGCAGACTTCAGATAACTTTGCAAGTGTCAAGTATTTTTTAGATACTCATGTTGTATTGGAGAAGTGTAAGCTACCTTTGTTACACCTTTCTTTTTTCTGTACATAGTTAACTTTACAAAAATGTGAACCCTTTGGGAAAATGACATAGTTGGAATGTGCTCCTTAAGTGAAGTAACTAGATGTTGAGGCAGGAATTTATATGCGTTCAAAAGAGCATGCTGAAAATGATGTGGACAGTGGCCTAACGCAGTGAACCTGAAGATCCTAAAGGGCTTGTTTGAGAAGGACAGATGCTGAACAGAGTGGAGTCTATCTGAAATATTTGAGGAGAAGGACCTGAGCTAGTTCTCTGCAGAGGATATTCGTGCATTTTCATTTTGTTTATTTTATTTATCTATTTTGTGTGTGTGTGTGTGTATTGTTAAAAAAAAAAGATGACACTGAAACTGTCTACTCAAGTACTGTTCCCAAATAAAACTAAAATTACAAAAGAAAAAAAAACTGACCCTAAAGATATTAAGAGGGTAAAAAAAATGAATGGCCCAAAACCATGACAAAGAAAAAAAATCCAAAGCAGAAGCACTCATTAGTCAAAGCGCTGGATTTATCTATGTCACTGTCACTGCCTGGAGATTTTCCTCAATCCTACTCTATATTTAGCTGTAATCCCTGACTACAGATTTCACTCCCCGCCTGTCCCTTCTACTCCCTCGGCTGCAGCTTTGGCTTCCTGACGCGGTCGGGCAGCAGTCGGAGTCCCACCCACATGAGCAGCTCCGCCTCCACCTGGGAGATCATCGGAGACTCAGAGGCCAACGAGGAGGCGGAGCAGCGGACGTCTTCTTGAGCCTGGTACTGACCGCAGAGTTTGCACTGTGTGATTCCTTCAAGTTTGTCACAACACTTTCCCTCAGCTTGTAACAAAAACATCTGGTTGTGGCTCAGAGGAAAGGTTACGAGGACATTTGAATGCAGACCCAGAGTATAACAGAAAAGCACTGTGTGAGAGTGAGGAAGGAGAATGTGTTTTTAAACAAATCCTGTCTCACTTCTTAAATTCAGTTTCGGTCATGATTATCTCAGTTTCTTTATTGTTAATTTCACCCTTGTTAGAAGCCTAATTATTTTCATTACAAGTGATAAACAAGGAGAACACTGTGTAGCTATAGTGTACCATGATACAGCGTGTGACAGTATTAAGAGGGACATTTTTAAAAAGTATTCCTTTTGTATGATTCAAGTATTAAAACAACAATCATGTTATTCTTTATTGTAAAAAAAAAGACTCATTGTTGGTAATTTTTGAAAAGTTAAATATTCCGCACAGATATTTATATACATCCTCAAATATTTTTCATCAAAACCAAAGACAATACAAATATATCTATTCTGAAATGAAACTATCCACTTTAGTAAAATGGAACGCAGTAAATTAAGTTCACCTCTGTTCCACAAGAGTGCAATGGCTTATTTTATGACTTATACAAATATTTTGCCTCACAAATTAGAATATAACTCGTACCTCATTAGGGAATTTCTTAAGCCATGTTGTTACTCATGTATTATCATGATTTTAAGCACTTTTATGTGAAAGGAAAAAGAAAACTTGTAGCTTTGGTACCAGTCTTTTCCAGCAGTGAGTGTGTTTTGACTCCTTAAGCCTTAACCTACTGCTTAACAATATATTTTTAAACATTTTCCAACATTAGTTCTTGCACAGAGCCAAAGCATTTGGCTGGAGTGTGTTTGATGGTGGTGCCATAAGTTCATTTCTGGCTGATGTGTCAGCCTCTGTAGGTTGATTACGTTAAATTTAAGTTCCTTGTGGAATTGAGAAATGTGTGTTGGATGTTTTTAAGCTCAACTACCTTCAACCGATGAGCTACATATATAAAGTCACCAGCTTTATTGTGTCTGATTCCCTTACTCCCTCTAAATATCTGATCAAAGCAGTACTCAGACAGATCAGTGGTTTTCCTTTGAGGGACAATGTACGAACTTCCAATCAGACCACCTTCTCCTAAAATACTGTGTTTGCAATTTATTTTTGTAAGCATGTTTGTTATGCTGATGAAAACACACTTAAGATGTGAATCACCATGTACGTGAATTTTATTGCAAGTTTGATAAAAAAGAATAGTCCAAAATGTGGATTTTCTGTGATTTTGAAATCTCAATAAAACCCTTTAAACACAGAATATGAAATAATCTCAGAGCATTTTTCTAACGATTAACGACAAGAAAATCAAATCACAAGTGATCACATGATCGTCTTTGTACCAACTTTCATGACTTATAAGGAGGCTTTCTTCATCATCTCCTGTAAGACCGTCAACACTGGCTTCTGGGAAAAAGGTGAACATCGGGGGTGTGTGTTTGTGATTGTTCCCGTCCCACCAGTGTGTGTGGCGAGTTTTGTGTGTTAGTGTTCGACCATCTTTAAAAAGCTCTGTGTCTGGCTGAATAGAAGGAAGTGGCTCTGACTTCCCCAGGAAATGGGAAGAGGAAACCCGGGGGCTTCGACCTCTCTGGCTGCGCTGGAGCCACAAGACGACTCGCCGGGGAGAAAGAGAGGGAGAAGGGGAAGGAGGGAAGGGTGGAGGGCAGACAGAAAGAGAGATACTGCCTCTCATTGTGCTCTCTTCTAGAAGTAGCTGAGAGGAAAGAAAGAAGTCAGGACCAGACACAAAGAAAGAAAAGACATTTGGTGGCGAGTTTTGTTTTCAGACTTTGCGTGGAGATGAAGTTTCTCCTCGGAGCTCTGGCTGCTCTGCTCTGCTGCTCGTCGTCCTCAGCACACACTCTGGATCCTGCTGGGAGGAACGTCTGCCTGGATACGAGGTACACTTCAACTTTACCTTCACTCACACCTGCTGCTTTTTTACTGTTTTGCTAAGTGATGACAGCAGGAGCCAGCTAAGTATAGCAGACTGTGACTCAAACTTTTTTGGCATCCCCGGGAAAGGCTGAGAAAATCAGTGAATAAAAACAGTTCTTGTGATAAATTTCAGTCACATGAGAATAAATTTCTCAAGGAGCTCCACCTCCTCAAAGAGCAAAGGACTGTTTTGAGCATATTTTTGGGGTTTATTTTAGGCTAAATCTTCCAGTCTTCTTTCCTTTTGCTTAGTTTCTCAACCTATTTCAAGTGGTTACAGTAGATTTTTAGACACTGCAGTGTTTTCTTTGGTAAGTGTCACATTTGTCCGGCTGATTTAATTATATCCTGAATATTCAGGGACCCCTCCAACCTAGTGTGTTGCACTGGATGGCGTCAAAATGGAAAAGAGTGTACTATAGGTGAGTTTAATTACTCAAATAAACTGTCGGAATTATCTCATGACTGCCTCCATATTTTATTTGGTTTCTTGGTTTTTTATTCATTGTATGCCTTGTGTGTGTGTGTGTGTGTGTGTGTGTAGCTGTATGTGAGGGTGAGCAGGCCTGCCTCAAGGATGAGATCTGTGTATATCCTGGAGTGTGTCGCTGCTCACCTGGCTACTACGGAGCTCAATGTAAAACACGTGAGTTACGATCAACAACAGCAGCTGTTTTCCATCAGTTGATGGATATAATTCTGTTTAGAGAATAAATGGAATTGCAAACAACTCACTGACATCTGAAATGTGACATGGATGTAACTAGATATTACTGTTTTGTCAGGGGGACAAAACCAAAAACACAGAAAAGCAATATGTTGTATTTTACATATTACAGTCTTTTGAACAATCTTAAAGAGTGGCCAGTAACTATAGGTGTCAAATCTAGGGGAATAAAAAAAGTAAAACTTTGTAATGTATACTGTAAGTGTCATTTATAGTACCAGTAACTCAAGCTTTACAGTGTTTCAGTAAATGTACTTTTCACTACTGTAAATACACATTTTTGTATAGTGTCACTGTTCAATGTCTCTCCTGTGTTTCTGTGGGTTCTACCAGGCTGTCCTCCTGAGTTCTGGGCTTCAGACTGTCGCCAGGTGTGTCAGTGCTACCCACACGGTCGCTGTCATGCTGCCACAGGTGAGTGCACCTGCAACCTCAACCGCTGGGGTCCACAGTGCCAGAACACCTGCAAGTGCGCCCGCCATGGCCACTGCCACCCCGTCCACGGAAACTGCACCTGTGACGAAGGCTGGTGGACGTTGAGCTGCGCCAAGCCGTGCCAGTGCAGCAACCTGCGCTCTGTAGGCCTCAGCTGTGACCAGCTGACGGGCCGCTGTCAGTGCCACAGGGGCCACTGGGGGCTGAAATGTCAGGTCCCCTGCAACTGCAACCAGTCGCCGTGTAATCAGCGGACTGGTGTGTGCGAGTGCGAGCCAGGCTCATGGGGACCCAGCTGTGACCGCAGATGTGAATGTGACTCCACACACAGCAGCTGTGACCCGGCTACTGGGCAGTGTCTGTGCCACCCGGGATACCAGGGAGTCTTCTGTAACCAGCGCTGTGAAGATGGGACGTATGGTAGCGGCTGTAAAATGAGGTAGGTGTGTGTGGAGGTAAAAGGTCCTCCAGGACATATAGTTTTTCATGATTGACTCTGTCTGGCTGTACTGACTTTATCTCCTATCTCAAGGTGTGGTTACTGTAAAGACAAGCAGCTGTGCTCTATGACTGATGGTGTGTGTGCCGCCTGCGAGCCCGGTTGGAACGGCACAAGATGTGACCGACCGTGTCCATCCGGTTATTACGGCGACGGCTGCAAAGAGAAGTGTCCACGTTGCAGAAATAATGCACCTTGTGACCCAACAACTGGGAAATGTAGGAGCTGTGACCCTGGATGGACTGGACCCAGGTGTGTATGCATGTTTGGGGCAAACACAAGCAACAAATCTTTCATACTTTACAAGCAATTGCAGGCAAGTGCTTTACTATATGCTGTGTGTTTTGGGTTTTTCTTTCCTTTAGCGTGTTATAGCTTTTATGTGCGTGTACAAGGTCAACAAACCTACAAAGTCCCCACCAAAGGGAATTTTGGTCTCAGAAACACTACTTCTACCTGCCTGAAACACCTTGTTGAAGTCCAGGCCATCACCATGTAACACATTTAGACATGTAACGCCTGTCTACTGTTTGGTTTGACAGTTTTGCAGTCAGTCATTATTTCCTCACTAGAGGCACTTCTGCTAGGGCTGCATTACTGCACTCAACAGAGCAGACGAGGCGTCATGGGAGGAAAATCGTAAAGAGACAGGAGCTAAAATAAAGGATTTTCAGACAGAGGCTGAGAGGAAATGCTGCAGCAATGTACAGTATGAAAAAAAATAGTGAGTTTTTTGAACATTAAAACATCTAAACATATTCTAGTGGTCCCCAAAATAAAATCAGAAACCTATAAATGTGCAGAATATGGCCTCTTTAATATAACTGCAGCCTACAGCAAAATGAAATCAACCGACTCGATCTGACGGGTATTAAGAAATATGCTGTAATCAGTGTGCCTGATATTTGATTCCAGACCCCAAAATCAGCCATAACATATTTGCATTGCACCTACCCTTATTTATTGATGAAAACTCATATTCAGCAACACAGTCTGTACTGTTAAAGTTTATAGTTATTTCTGTCAGAAGTTACATTATCATCCTTTGATTGGATCTGGGAACAGAAAACACTTCTTCACTGGTGCGTACTGCTGTTTGTTGGTGGCTCCAACATCCGTGAGTTGGCTCCCAATTCCCAGATGAACAATGTAGTCATGAAATGAAACCCAGAGGGCACAGGGTGGTGGGAATTTGGTGTAAAAGTTTAAAACAATTCTAATAATGACTTTGTCTATGAAGCACCTTGTAAAAACAGAGTTTACATAGTGATTTGACAGACAAGGAGAAAAGTGAATACTCAAGAGGACATTATTGTAAAAAAGAAAAAAAAAGTTGGTCAGGCTAAACAGAAGAAAAAACGACGGGAGAAGAAAAAAGTGGAGAAATGGAGTTCAACAGTAAAAGATACAAAATGCAGAATTTCAGCATAAATATACAAAGCTGAACCTGTGAAAAAGAAAGAGTTATCAAATCAGCCACTGCTTACAACTACGTTTCCATGTGAGGAACAGACTGCAAGTTTCAACTCCGTGTGCGAATTTTCATATACATGGAAATCAATGCAAACAGCTAACTGGAAGGAGGAAATGGTATGCTTTGGAAAAAGTTGGCTGCAACACAATGCTTTTTATAGTTAATATGCAAAAACATGGAAAACTAATACTATGATCCGTGTAGTCTCTTGTAACAGGTAAACAGTAACTCTACCTGATCTCTGCTTGCAAAATTAAAAAATAACCAGGTTACACAATGAGTATGCTGGTAAAGATTGTGTGTGGTTGCTGAGTGTTTGTATGACGAAGAAGTATTGAATGGACAATATTCTAAATAGAAGAAGAATCTGTCTAAAGCATCAAACATGCAGTGAGATTCGTGTGTAAGATTAGAAATCTACATTATTTGTGTCCTTGCCCAGGTGTGAGGAGGTCTGCCCTGACAGGACGTTTGGAGACGCCTGCAGCTTCCTGTGTAGCCCCTGTTTCCACGGTAACTGCCATCACGTGACAGGAAGATGTGTCTGTCAGCCCGGCTTTCAGGGTGAGAGGTAAGCTGCCTGGTAGAGTATCAGCAGGTTAATAAGAGCCTTCATTCTTGAGGCCGGCTGACGCTGGAGTGTGCATGATGAATCTGTGTGTAAATATTTAAAACTGAGAGAAATACTCTAAAATAATGTTGGAGGTTTTGACCCCAGTGTAAACTAAACAAAACTAACTAGGCCAACCCAAAAACAAACATCACAGTTTGTTTGCCAGAACGTAGGAACTGCATATTCTGTTTTCCCATGCAAAAACTGATTAGACCATAGAATTCAACAAATCAAACCAGCAATGCAGTTAATTTGCAGGGAACAGCTACAGGAAAACAACTCACTGACATCTGAAATGTGACATGAATATGACTGGACACCACTGTTTTGTCAGAGGTAATAAAGTAAAAACATATAAAGCTACTGATTTAATCTTCAACTATACAATTCACTGTATGTGTGCCTGTAAAAAACAAGTCATTGTGACTGTTTTAATGCTACAAAAGCTTAGTAACTGAGTGACCCACATCACATAAATACGACTGGAGCTGTAATGCTGCAACTCTAAAAATAAAAAAAGAAAAATAAAACCACCGGATAAACTATTACCACTAAAAGTAAAGCAACTCTTTACATTGCCCAAATGTAGATTACCAGGACAAACATAAGGTTTTGGGCTTTCTCTTTTCTGTAGTTACTGCTTTCTTGCTGTTTTCTTTCATGTTGGTAAATTCAAATCTCCTCTGACATCTGCAAAGAACAGTTGGCCTCAAACAGCAATGCAATCATGAACTATGCTTTCATAAGCTCAACCCTGAGGACAAACAGTAGGCAAATGTGAAATGATTCATCTGGTTTTCTTTCTTAAACCTAAACAAGGAGACATTTCAAACAAAGCCAGTTGTATAATTGAAGGTGATAACAATTAGTATGCTTTAAGAAATAGCTCAGGGTGTTGTTACTGTTGATGTTAACTATATAGAATTTAAGGTTAGCGGGTTCAAACATGCAAAACCTCCAGCGTGTCCCCTTAATTTTCTTTCCAGGGTTTATTTCTCATTACACGCTCACTGAGCACTAAAATAGATCATGACTCAGTGCTTATACACAGCCCTTTTTGTCTGCTGTGGTGATGTAATTATGTGATTTGATGTTTTTTTTTTCCAGCTGTAACAGTAGCTGTCCTGCCCTGCAGTTCGGTCTCAACTGTTCCTCTCTCTGTGACTGTGGTGAGGGGGTCGGCTGCCACTCGGTCACTGGAATCTGCCCCAACAGTAGGTCCATCCATGCATCACCCACCCATCCATAAATCTAAGTGTAACATTGCCGTACAAACCAAAAGAGCATCACGTGTTGCGTTTGTGTGCGTCAGGTGGTCGAGGTGCTGTACTTGCAGGCGTGCTCGTTCCTTTGCTCCTGTTGCTCCTTGCTGTGCTCTGCTGCTGCTTGTGCTGTGGTGGAGCTCCTGTTGATGGCAAAGACAGGTCTGTTCTCTCTAACATTCACCACTATTATGTTCACTTAGGATAGACGTAAGCCAGGACACAACTGCACTGAGCAAAACAGCAATTTCTCCCAACCTGCCATCACAAATTTGAATATACTTCAATTATCAAGACATTTCAGGTGGTGGAAAGATCCTCAGTCTGTACAACAGGCAAAAAAACAGCTATAGAGCCTCCCAGTAATTTAAAATATCCACTATAAACTGTATATAAACCTTCTTTCTTCTAGGGCGGCTGTGGCTGAAGGCGGCTTGTCAGTTCGCATGAAATATCACGTCTACAGCGTCCTGGCAAACATTGGTGCTTCCCTCCCCTGTATCTCTGACTGGTCCTCTGGTCTGCCTCGAGTCACTGGTTAGTCTAACTACACAGCATTCATACTGTAACACAGTAAAACACTGTCATTCACTGATGGTGCACAAACTCCAAAAGTGGTACTTATTGATAGAGTCATTGTGGTACGGCAGAGACTAATTTGTAAATCACCATTATCGTTTGAGTTCTTCTAAAACTTCACTGCCTCTAGAGAACTGCCTTCATGAATTATGACCTGTTACTGTGGTATTCCGTGCACTTGTTGAAGAGTAGAGTTGAAGTGTGAAAAGTCACAGTTCAGTTCCACAGATATTTAACTGTAGTTCACCTCTTTGTTGCAAAAAAATAAAAACAAATGTTGGACTTGAGCTATTTTGCAACTCGGGTTTAAATACAACTCTTGCCTTATGAAATCAATGCATTTTTATATTACAGCTTCTTGAGAATTAAATTAAATAGATTTTTGGTTATAAAATAATTTTTTTCCTTTGAAACGTCTACACCTCTATGTTTTGATTAGTGAAACATTAGAAGACAAATTGCTTCAGTTATAAAGGCAAGACAGTAGTACTAAAAATGCAAAGTGTCCAATTCTTTTCCAGATTTCCTACCAACATGTTTCATTTTATGAGCATATGTTGCAGCACTGAAAGTATTTTATATCAAACTCACTATATAACAGTATGTAATAGCAGAAGATCAAAAAAAAGTTTATCATTACAAATTGCAAATTGAGAGAATTAAATGAAAAGTCCTGGAGCCCCTTGAAAGTAAATGCGTCAAAATCTAACTTTAAAAGCCTAAAACCGTTTTATTGAGCAGAAGTTGTGTATGGATTTGACTCAACTTGATGTTTTATGTCATTGAACCTACTTTGTATGCCTCTTATACCCACAGTGTCTCACCATGATCCAGAGCTGACCTTCAATCACAGCTTCATCGAGCCTCCATCCTCCGGCTGGGTGACTGAGGGGTCGTCCTTCGACAGTGATGAGGAAGAGGGAGAAGCTCTCTACTGTGTCCCTCCAAGAGAAGGTAGGAGAAATACTGCTCATCAAACTGTACATTGCCCTCTCTTGGTGGTGAGCAGGACTGTCAATGAAAAAATGCAGAACTCCTGCCATGCCTTGACTCTCCACTCTCTGTGTGTTTGACAGACATCCCAGCCGTGGCGGGTGGTGAGTTCCAGGAGATGAGCTCCAAGTGTAACATGTTCTTGGATCCGTCAGGCTTCAGCAGCGAGGACATCGCCTCCCCCTTCAACATCCCTCGCACCTCCAGCATTGCCAAGTCCAAGCGGCCATCCGTCTCATTTGCAGAGGGAACCCGCTTCAGTCCCAAAGAGAGGCGTGGCTCTGCTCAGGACCCCAGCGGTCTCCCACGCAGCAAACCCAAGTCACCCTGGGGGGTTCTAATGCTGTCGGCCCTCCAAAGTCAGGGAGGCGCAGCTAGAACTGGAGAGGAGGATGGAGCTGAGGGTGAGGAGAGGGAGGATGAGGTGGATGAGCAAGTGACCGACAATCAGGAGACAAATTGCGAGGTAACAGAACAGGATGTGGACAGAACTCCATCTCGGGCCACCCTGCAAGTTCCTGCTGCATCTGGAAGAAGACGGACTATGTCCAACACTGCTGCTAATAAAGGGACCCAGCTGCCAACATCTGCCTCTGATGCTCAGGTAGGGGCCTCACATAAAGTCACCACAGTGTACGTGACTGTGGGTAAAGCAGGTAGGCCCGTAACGAAGGCAGAGTCGAGCTCCGAAGGCCCCGTTCAGGCCATGCTGCGAAGACTCGGCAGCCTCCAGAGACAAAGAGAGCAGGATTCTGGCAAACCCAAAACAAAGGGAGCCGAAGGGGTCACCAAACCACCCAGGAGGAAGCTGGGAGCTCGGGCGAGTGTGTGGGAGCAGGGAGGGCCCTCTGGAGGGGAGGCTGGTGTATCTAAGCCAATCAGGAGGAAGCACGCCTCCCACAGCTCCACCGACACAGTTAATAACGACACTCCACCAGCAGAGAGCGCCACTCCAAAACGCCCACTCTCGTCTATTTTGAAGAGCGTGCCGGAGTTGGCCTCAGCTGACTCAGGGTCAGGTCTGAGGGTCGAAGGAAACGAGAGGCAGAGCAGCGACCCGAGTGCAGGACAAACTGAGAGCGACTACCTGACTGTGGGACCAGCAGGAGACACCGTGAGCCTCACTGAGGTCATCGCCAACAAGGGAGCGGTGGTCAGTGTGATCGATGAACCCTGCTATGAAAATGTCCTTATTAAACACTCATAACCTCAGAGAAACCGTATCAGCAGGTCTAGTAGAAATGAATACTTAGTATTCTGTTGGAACTTTACAGACACAAAGGACATGACGAATAAGTAAATTACAGCTCTTTGAATTGTGGTGTTTTTGTTGCACAGTTCAGTTCAAGTGCAGCTCACATGATTACATCATTGCAGGATTTGGAAAAAAAAAACATATTGTTTTTGTCTAAATTCTACACTATAAAGACAAAACTATAATTTATATTAGATTTTCAGCTTAAAATATACATGGGTCAGGAAGAGACCAGATTGCAGGTGTGGTATTTGGGTAATTCCTAATAAGAAAACCTCTTGTTGCTTTGCTTTCATTTACTTCAGTGACTGATGTTTTTAAGTGTAAACATACAAGTACTGTAAAACGCTACTGAGTCAGAAATGATAAACACATATAAAGACTAGAGGGAGACAAATGACAAAAACATCCGTACAGCTGGAAGGAAAGTGTCTGACCAGAATGTGTGTAACTGTGGAATTTATGTATGAGAAAAACATCTGAGCCTGCTTCTGTACTGATGGATATTTTATTAGTCATGAATGAAACACAAGAACAAACTGTAACAGACTGTGAACTCAACAGGGTTGTTCTGTCTCTGTGTATTATTGATTTATTCTGTTGTATTAGTCAGTAGAAGTAAAAAAAAAAAAAAAGGTGGAAAAAAGGTTTCACATCTGTCAAAGTGTCTTCGAGCATGCAAGCTGCTGTCACAGCACTCTGACCTCTGATGTGACAGTAACATAATGTTGGGTAAAAAAAAAACATTACTACCGTTTGTAAGTATTCTTGACCTTGCAGCACATTTTTGGAAGAAACCTCCATAAACCCGTGTTATCTTTTGTTATTCACTGTATATATGTCTATGATGAAAAATGAGAAAATAAACATGTTACATTTTGTAGATACAGGATTTGGAAAACATTAGTGATTATGACTCTGACAGCTAAGCAATGAGAAGCAGTATTTGCAGTTTTAAAACCTTATAGTGTTGCAGTAAAACATCTCTTTTTATTATCAGAATGTAGTCTAAGATTTAGCTGTTGCTTTCAGGCTGGTGAAGTTCTGGGATCACACATTTGCAGTCTCTAGTTTTCACTATCGCTGGGTTTCATAAAGTCAGCTTGTGCTGAGAACAGATGAGATAACTACGGAGTTCAGAAAATCAGCCCGCTGAACTTTGACCGTGAACACTATGTGGACTTTGACTGAGCTCCAATATTTGCTGAAGTTGATTAGCCGCTAGTTACTGTATGAACATGTTTGACACACTTTCCACCCTCAACACAGTCAGTGAAAACAATTCACCTGCTACACGCCAATTTCAGCACAGTAAAAACCACAGAATATTGAAAACTACTTCTTCTCGGCCCCAGTGGTGTCTGAACAGCCGAGCCAGTACTTGGCGATGGATCTGGGGTACGGAGGCATGGCGGGATCGACTCTCTTAGTCCGGAGGTCCGCTCTGTAGTATTTATCTAGAAAACACATGAACAAGACAGTCAATCATTTTATCTTTTCTTTTTTCTTGCGAAAGACTTCTTGTAGCTTTGTAGCTGTCATCCACAATTTATTTTGTTCTTTTCTGGCTGTGAGTCACTTTTTCCAGCTCTTCACACTCAAAACCTGCTTTGCGTCAGTATGTGGAGGTGTCACAGCACCTCTTTACTATTTGGTGAATCATAAGCCTTAAACAGCACAAAAGATCAAACACAAAAGTACTCTAAAAGTGAGTGTAAAAGTGCACTGCAGTAATTTTAGGCATCTGTTTCTGTGTCATGTGAAACTAGTTATAAAAAGTCTTCAGTGGGCGAAACTGAGCTGCGGAAAGTTTGATCAAATTAGCTCCTTTCGCCTGTCACAGCTGCACGTCTGTTCCCAGGGTCAAATAAATGTCTACTGCTTATTTTGAAGCTTTTGAACCACCAAAGCACTAACTTGTATATACTTACGATATGTTTTTATTATTTGGACAAAGCTGCAGAACTTTATATGTGACTGAATCAGAGAAATATAAATCTATTTTTTTGGAAGGACGGGTGATGCCTGCAGCATTTTGAGATGAAGATGTCCAGCTTTTGTTTTGCATCCATCCATCCCTTCCTGAACTGTGTCTGTTGTTTTACTTGCTCTGTGTATTCTTTGTAGCTTCTTTGGATGATCAAGTTTAAATGGACTTGATTTAATCAGGGGATATGTTGGACTTTATTGTTGCTATTTTTGTCATCATGGCTATCATGGTACATTTAATATTTAATTTCCTGTTTTACTAAAAAAAATTAAAAATAAAATAAAACATTAATTGGCCAACAGATAACTGTTTTGATATTTGTTTAAATATGGTAATTTATCAAACATTCTCAGGTTTTATAGTCTCCAGGCCTGCACAGTCAGACCATTCTACATAGCACTAGTGAAGTTTTATGTCGAATAGTCTGCTGCACCTCATTATTATTATCTGGTATGTTTCTTTAAACCAACCACGGCCACTTTGGTTGGAGAAAAGAACAGGATGCAGCAACTGTGTTCACTCAAAATAATGGGGAAAATGTTTTGGTGGAAAATTTTCATGCAGGGAGGCCAGCAGTGTGCTTAAAATGGATAATTTATCAAAATAAACTAGCAGGGCTGCCTGACTGCACAATTCAAACCTTCAGTGAAACCTGAGCTTTCTAGTGCGGAGGCTGCTGCTTGGAGGTTGTTGTTGTTTCCTGGAGTGAAAGGTATTTTGAAAATGGTAACTTGTAAATAGTGGACGGGCAGGAGAAATCTGAAAAATGTGCGGCCAGTAGCAGGCCTGTGTAAGCCCGACTACACGGCCTTAAATGTGATGGTTTACTGATTTTCTGTTGTATGACGGTAAATAAATATCTTTAGATTTTGGACACAACCAATCTAAAGACGACATCTTGGGTTGTGAGACATGCATTTTTTCTATTTTCTGACATTTCATACACTAAGCATTTAATCAGTTTCTCTATCAGTGCAAAGCAGGGTTGAAGACTGATGAATTAATGTTTAGTTGCTGTGAAATCGGACAATCCCATTAAGGAATCTATCCCTGCCGTGTTACCTCCTTTAAAGAAGTAGACGCTCTGTATGGGCAGATCTCTTTGGTAGTAGTCCCAGTACTCTCTGGAGTCGTAGTTGCCTCTGTTGTTCTGGCGGTACCGATCCCTTCTTCTGTCCTGGTCCCAGTCTTGATCCCACCGCCTGTCCCAGTCTCGCCCAAGCCTCTCCTCCAGTTCCATCCTCTTCTCTGCCATCCTCATACCTAGCTCCATCCCCCTTTCAGCGAAGTTCTGACCCATGCTCATTCCCCGCTCAGCCATGGAGTCCCAGAAGGCTGCGCGGTTTCGCCTTCTCTGACCCCACTGACGTCCGTTCTGCTGGTACTGCTGGTCTTGCTGCCGACCCCACTGCTGGTCTCTGCGTCGTGACCTCCAGTTGGTGACGTAGATTCTTCCTGCCATGGCAGCATCCAGTGGAGGCTTGATGCCCTTCCAGTCCTTGTCAATGAAGTGGTGACTGTCGTGATGCTGTGGCTCTGAAGAAGATGAAATAAGTTGAGCTGCCACACTCGACTGCTCTCTTAACAAATGGTCTATAACTTCACAACTCACGCTCGGAGAAGAGATCGCTGAAGTACCGCTCATAGTTGTTGTAGTAGACATCAGTGTAGTGCCTGAAAGTGGTGGACGGAGACCTCTCGGACATGGTGATACACTCCTCATGGGATGGCTGGTGCAAAAACTCATAGGTGTAATACTGGTCCGCTGGAGAAGCCAACAAGACAGCAAATGACCATTGGTTGAGGCAGTGGTATGAATCAAATACTACAGAAATAGTTGGAAATATATAAAACACATAGTATCTGGACAAACCTTTGAAGAAGTAGACCTTTTCTTTTTTATTATGGCCGGGGGCAGGCAGGGCGAACGCTGCATCTACATGATCAGGAATCTTGTCAAAGCCAACGCTGATATCTCGAGGATAGTCGTCATCCAGCACACCGTTGTCAAACCTCCAGTACTTGTTTCCCTGAGGAGAGTTTTGATTCATTAGTAAAGCAGGAGCCTTTTATACACATGTGCAAGGTACATTTCTGTACCCCTACCTTAAAGATGTAGGTCTTCCCCTGACAGTTGACGCGGGTGAACGCAGCATCAATAGGCCCGCTGATGCCCCACACATCCTTAATGAGCTTTGGATAACCGGGAAGCACCGTCTTCTGGTCCAGTTCAAAAAAGTACTCCCCTGGAAAACAGAAAAGTCATAGTGCACTCCTTGTTATACCTGCACAATTAGTTCAGAATGCATTGGCTCCAAATGAAACGCAGAACTTCTAACTCTGTTTTCAGCCCCTAGGCCACTTAGTCATCCTCACAGTTACTCCTCAGGCCTCCACTCACACCTTAAAACCATTTGGTTTGGCAGTTAAGCTTTTTTGGTTATCGCATTCAGCTCTGGAACTATCTCCACATTAAATCCAATCCAGTGAATCCAGTAAATTTTCAATAAAAATTTGACACTCACCTTTTTTTCCCTGTTGCTTTTAGTTCTTTCTGTAGCTGCTTGTTTTGGGCCCACTCTAAGCTCTTTTGCTCATTCTGCTGTTTTGCATTGTTTAGTTGACAGATTTGAATCCGTTTTCTCTTCTACTCTTTTGCTGTTATAGTATAATCTAGCCAGTAAGCTTTACCTGAGCTATCCTGCTCATCTAGTTGTTGCCACATGCTCATCCTTGTCCTTTCCTCCATGCATTTATATGCACTGTTGCATGTTATGAACTTAGTGTTTTCTCTTTCTTGTAGTTTGCATTTTGTTCATTTCCTGTCCTCTCTCTCACTAAACCACTCTGCAGCTATTTCTGGCTGTGGAGCTTCACATCTGCATCTACAGGTCCCACCAATCTGTCCAATGTTTATGTTCTCTTGCTTGTTGTCTTTTCGTCTTTACTATCCTGTTTTCTCTCTTCTCTTTACTCTCACCCCAACAGGTCAAGGCTGATGGCCACTCTCCCTGAACCTGGTTCTGCCGTAAGTATTTTCCTATTACAGGGGAGTTCTATGCTTTTACATAGAGAATTTTTGGATTTGTTTGGTTTTTTAATCTATGGTTTTGTAGGGTCTGACTTTTAAATTAGTCAGGTAGATCTGTATTTTATATGATATTGTAGGAGGTTAATTGTATTATTTAAACTGTTCAGGTAAATTCACGACAAAAATAACATTGTAGGATCTTAAACTTAATACTTAAACTCTTTGGTTAATTTGTAACACCAATCGTTTTTCTCTACATTAAAGCATTTTTTGCTTAGCTGCTGTTGTTTTAAACGTTCTGTAAAAATAACAGGGGCTCTTCTATATCAAAAAGTACACATAGTGACAAAACATCCAAGGCTCTGAAAGTTGTCAGAAAGAAATGTGAATGGCTTCAACAATACTTTTCATTTTCAGCCACTTGCTCACCTCTGAAGGCGTAAATGGATCCATTTTTAAGCTGCATGAAGGAGTCGAAAGGCCTCCCGCTGCAGACCTCAGCGTCTGGGTCGGGGGCAGCAGTGGTGGATGCAGGGACAGGAGTAGTTGTCTCATTGCCAACCTGTGGAGCTGCAGTCGTGCCGGAGACGCTGCTTGTTGAGGCACCTGTGTCTGCGACCTGTGTTATCTGTGTAACAGGGGCTCTCTGGATTGTGGTGTCAACCAGTTGTGTGGGTTTGGTCATTTCCAGTGTGGTCTCTGGACGCTGCTGTGGTCTGTGATTGAAGTCCAGGATGGGACGCTGCGTGGGCCTCAGTTGCCGGCCAACGGCTGTAAAAGCCTGGTCGTGTGCTGGACGCCCAGGGGTTGCAGTTGGGCCTCCGAGCAGCTCGTCATCATCATCATCCTCTGCAAACACAAATGTGTCCCCACGAGCTGAAGGAGGACAAAAGGGACATCAGCAGCCATCCTTCCCTGCACCATTCAGAGTGTTTCACAACTTGACTGAACAAGTGAGGTTTCTTACTCGTCATACCACAGGTGGCCTCAAAGTCAGAGCAGCAGCTTTTGTAATACTTGCACATGGAGTCACACTGGCACGTCTTCCGAGAGTCAAAGCCATTTTCACAGCGACTCAAACAGGACTCTTAAGATAAAATGATGTTGTTCATTCATTGGAATTTTACACCGCCTCTGTCCATTTTTTTGTTCCTCTGGGCAAATTAATCTCCTCCTTAGGATAATAAAGTTAACTTTGATTACAGTCCCCATGAGACAGAGAATCATGGGACACGTTGTTCTTCTTATAAATGATATCTGATTCTATTTTAATATAAAATGTAGTTGGTTAGTTGATCGACATATTTCACAAATATTTTCGTAATGGTTTAACTTAACATTCACAGATTCAAGCTTCATTTACATGATGATTTTAAATCACTTAAAATGTGAGTTTACTGTAATTTTTGGCCAGCTGATTAAATGAAGCAAGCAAATTGAAGACATTGTTTTGTGTTCTGGCCATTTGCGATTCAGTTTTTTTTTTTTTTTTGGACATCTTATGTACTGAAGAGTTAGTAAATTACTTGTAAAATGATAAACAGATCGGCTGTTCATAAACATAATTGTTAGTAGCAGTGCTAACAGCAATAAATATGTTTACTTGTGAAAATGCAAGGCACCCAAATGAAACATCTCTAACAAATAAAAACAAATTTAAAGGAATATGTTGGTTATGTTAACTCCTTTCACCAATATGCAGCTGGTATTAGAACTATACTAACTCTAAATAGGCCTACTGAAACACGCTAGCCTAAAACTGAAGGAAAAACAAAACCCCTTCTCTGTTTTCTGACAACAAATAGATTTTTAATGTCATACTCACCGTCTGCTAAAGTGTCAGCGAGCACAGCGAGCAGCAGGACGACCCAGAGCTTCATGTTGCCTCCGCTGAGCGAGAGGACAGAATGAGACAGTAATGATGGACCATGAGCTTCCAATCATTGGAAACATGTGTCAGTCACCCCACTTCCTTGTTTGCTTTAACCTTATTTTTTCAACTTGAGCAAATAAACACAGAGAGAAAGAGATCAATAGGAAACAAACGTTTAAGCCGTATGACAATCTGTTGTCCTCTGACCCAGTTGCATTTTAGCCACAGTTTATGGGTCATTAAGTGGCTGCAGAGAAGTGCTTTTCTTATATATGCTGCTTAATTAGCAATAATATTCTGTGTTTTTTTTATTACCTGGGTTCAGCTCAGGACAAGACCTGAGTCTAGCTTGCTATGTGGTGTCCTTGTGAGGCCTTTCTGAATGCAGGAGTGTTGGTGTTCAGTCCCATAAAGCAGTTTAACATAGGCTGACAAGATAATAAAGATTTTACTGCAGAAAACCAAAGGACTCCAGACTTAATTTTTGTCATGTGTAAGCGTCTGCTTCTTCGTGTTAAGCAGCAGTTTTATTTTCACTATCACACATACATTATTCAGCACTATTCAATCAATAACTTTAATGCAACTGCTCACAGGAGAAAAAAGGGGAAATCACTGCCAGAGCTTTAAAACAGACTCCTAACTGTTGGCTCTATCTACGGGGAGCGACTGCAGGCAGACTTTGAACACTTGAGGCCTTTTCTGTAAAAATCTTAAAACTTGCTCGACAGTGTTGTGAAAATTTTAGGAAACGTAAACATACTTTTAATAATTGCAATAAACTATATGTATGCATACTAGACTGATAGCTTCCAAAAACAAGAGCCAAAAGTATAAAGTCACACTCCATGTCATAAGGACGTTTGTCTCTCATACTGAGGGAAAAGAAGCGGGGGTTGAATCACTCCAAAACCTCCACACAATCATTTGTGCAGCCTTCAAGAGACCCGATAAGGCCTCCTGTGCACTTCAAGGCCTTGAGCTGCCCCAAACAAGAGTGAATGAGTGACAAACGTTCACATGAGAGAGCACAGACTCAATATAAAAAATAAACAAAATAATAAAACACTTAGTGTCAGCAGTAAAATTTATCATCTCTTCCAGAGCTCATTCCCAGATCTCACATACTGCTAGCATTTAGACTTCATCTGGGAAAGTAACAGAACAAGTGTCTTCCAACAACTTTTGGATGGTGCTAAACTCTTTTTTTTAGAGAACTTAATGAACACTTCGAAAAAAAAGAAAAGAATATCTGACTAAATTTTCACGATCAAAATAGGGCCTGCTTTAACTTAGCAGTGAGGAAAACACAGCTGCAGGCTACGTTCTTAAATGTTCTGAACTATGGGAACATTATCCAAATGCATGCTGCTGCCTCTCCTCTTTCTTGCCTTGACTGTGTGTCAGCTTTCTACATGGTTCACTACACATCGCTGTGCACTTCATGATCTGTTTTCTCCGCCTTCATTAAGAATCAGATCAGAAAATGTGTAACTGAAGACTGCGATTGCTACTCATAAACTGGATCTTGTTTTGTACATACTAAATGTGCTTTACCTTTGTCCTGTGTCAGTTGTTGTCATGCTTGAGTTTATAATCTTTAATAACTTTATACTGATGTGCCTTATTGGCAGAGTCTTCCTCTAAAAAGAGATTTTAATGTCAAGGGACTTCCTGGATAAATACATAAATAAAGAGCGTTATTTATGAAAGATTAGCTGTAACCATAGTATCTTATTTTTCACAAGTATATTCAGAATCTCATTTTTTGTGACGATAAAAGCTTTAGTGGCATCTTTAGATCCATTTCTGATATTATTTCATTATATTGAAGATTTTTTCACTATAACTGGGAAGGCATTTCACAGATAACACCTTTCAGGTACTTTTTAAATCTGTAATTTTATTTTTTTTGTGTATATTTTATAGATGCTTGATTACTGTCACATCTGTTGCAACCTCATGTTTATTGCAAGAAATTGTATATTTTGTCCATGTGGCACAATCACAACTGCTCCAGCAGAGGGCCTGCACTGTTTAGGGTCACCGCTAGTCACAATGCGCATGCTCCGGCCGGCTTGTGATGCAGGGAGGAGAGAGGGGAGGAGGGGGAGGAGGTGGTACTTCTTTCTACTGTACATCCCCGGCAGCATCCAGAGCCGGTGGGCGGTGCAGACCCTTGAAGGAACAGGCAGCCTGCGGATGCTGACCGAAGGATGTCAGGAGATGCTTCTGGAGGAAAGTATCATACCTGGTGCTTCTGCTGAAAACAAGCTCAGTGCGCTGGACACGGAGGGAGGAATAACTATGAGAACAACAAGCCTCCTTTGTCTGGAAAATCTCAATGAATGCCAGAGAAGAAACAGAAAACAATAGTTGATTTTCTTCGGGAGAAAAGCAGGGTTTGGTTTCTGGCCTGTCAGTCTGACATCCTGTGCTCAGAGGTTTTTTCTTCTTTAAGGACATTTTCAGACACGTTGTTCAGAAGTCATCTGTTGGTCGGTGGGATGAAGGAGACAAAGCAGCAGCTGTGAAGACAACACTGTGCGTAAACGTCCAGCTCAAAATCTGCTTATGAGACTTTAAAGGCTCGGTGCCAAGGATGACATCCACACAGAGGTGATGCAATTTGATGAAAGCTGTCACTTCTGATTTACAGCTGAGGCCTGACGCTCTGGACTCTGTGTCTCCACGGCTGGACTTCTCTGAGAGGATTTACGGGCCTCAGTAAACAAAAACATTGCAGTGCTGAAGGCCTTTACGCACCCACTGACACCGATCAGGCTGCTCTCCGCCGGTAGATGCTCTTTTCTCTGACGCTCTTCCTGTGGAGACTCCATCGATATTTCTCCATCATGTTCAGCTCAGACAGACTCACGGTCCCGGATTATGTGAGCCGGCTGCAGAGGGGGAGGAGCGGCTCCGGAGGCGACCCCAAGGCCGTTTCTCCGGGGATCAACGCGGACGTCCAGGCGGTTTTGGAAAGCTCGCTCCCCGCCCTGCGCTCCGCCACCAGGAGGCTGAAGTCAGCCAAAGAGACATCAAACTCAGACGAAACCCGCCGGGCCATCGCGGAGCTCTATCAGTTGGTGGAGGAGGCCTGGGTTCTGCCCACCGTGGGCCGTCAGGTGGCCGAGGAGATCTGCAACAGGATCCGTCTGGACGGAGGCCTGGAGCTGCTGCTACAGCTGCAGCAGACACCTGCGGTGGAGATCACCTATGAGTCTGCAAAACTGCTGGAGCAGATCCTGATCTCAGAGAACAGGTACAGCAGTGGACACTGTAACAGCATGGTACAGTTCAAAACAGCAGCTCTGCCGTACAAAGAAGCTCCCTTTGTAAAGATGTTATGTTCAGTTTGAAACTATGTCACATTGATGTCTGTTTTTGATACAGGAAGTGATGAAACAACATCAGCAAACCCCAATATTAGAAATAACTAGAGGTTATCTTTGGCAACTTTGTAACCTAAGCTGTGCAAGGATATTTCTATTGGCTTGTAGACTTTAAAGGCAGTTTTTTTTTTGTGTCCAACCCTTTCATATTTGGTTGTTCAGTTAACTGTTTAGTCTATTAAATACTTTAATACAAAAGTCAAAAATAGCATAATCTATTTAAGGTTCTTGGTTTCTATATTCAGCCATCCTACACTAAAATATGTTGAATTTATAGTCTTATAAAACACAGAAAAACAGCCCATCCTTATGTTTGATAAGATAGATTAATGATTTATTTGTGATTCTTGCTTGATAAATAACTTTATTGATTAATTAACTGACAAAAGTGTTAATTCTTTCAATCAACTGATTTAATAATTGTCTAATCACTTCAACACATTGATGACACACTATGTGTGTCTGTTATGCCTCATTTGATCAGTAGTTTATTGTTCATT